CATTTTCAATTTATGAGGTATGACCAAAAACTACAGTGAATGTTTATATATAAAAAAATGTATTACAGTAAAAGACACATTGCCATTAGGCCCGTCAAAATACTCCTCCTCTCTTTAAACACACTTATCCCATCATTCTTGCCACATTCTGAAGCAGTTCTGGAAGTCCTCTTTCATGAGTGTCTTCAGTTGTACTTTCAGCTGCCTCAGTGTCCTGAATTGATTCAACATGTTTACCTTTCATGGTCATTTTGACTTTGGGGAAGAGCCAGAAGTCACATGATGCCAGATCCAGTGAATAAGGTGGATGAGGACACACTGTAATGTTTTTATTTGACAGAAAATCCCATATCAGAAGTGATGTGTGACATGGAGCCTTTTATCATAATTGTTGATAGGTATGTACTTATTGCTATTTTATTATTCATATTTTTAATCTTTTTTTCTTCATCTTAAAGAAGTACCTCTAATATTTCTTATAATTCTGGTTTAGTGGTGGTGAACTCCCTTAGTTTTTTTTCGTCTGGGGAGCTCTTTATCTGTCCTTCAATTCTAAATGATAGATTTTCTGGGTGGAGTAATCTTGGTTGTAGGTCACTGAATATTTCTTGCCAATCCCTTCTGGCCTGTAAAGTTTCTGTTGACAAATCAGCTGACAGTCTTATGGGAGCTCTCTTGTAGGTAACCAAACTGCTTTTCTCTTGCTTCTTTTAAGATAATTTCTTTGTCTTTAACCTCTGGCATTTTCCTTACAATGTGTCTTGGTGTGGGCCTCTTTGGGTTCATCTTGTTTGGGACTCTCTGTGCTTTCTGGGCTTGTATGTCCATTTTCTTCACAGGTTAGGAAAGTTTTCCATCATTATTTCTTCGAGTAGGTTTTCAATTCCTCGCTCTCTCTCTTCTCCTTCTGGTACTCCTGTGATGTGAATGTTGGTATGCTTGATGTTGTCCCAGAGGTCCCTTTAACTATCTTCATTTTTTTGAGTTTTTTGTTTTGTTTTGTTTTTCTGTTCTGATTGGGTATTTTCTGCTACCTTATCTTCTAAATCACTGATTCAATCCTCTACTTCATCTAATCTCGTCTAATTTACTGTTGATTCCCTCCAATGTATTCTTCATTTCAATTATTACTTTCTTTATTTCTGACTGGTTCTTTTTTGTTTTCTATCTCCATTTTTATGTTTCCTATCTCTTTGTTGAAGTTCTCCCTGAGATCACTGAGCATCTTTATAAACAGTGTTTTGAACTCTACACCTGGTAGATTGCTCGTCTTCATTTTGCTTATTTCTTTTTCTTGAGCTTTGTTCTGTTTTTTTCATTTGGGACATATTTCTTTGTCTCCCCATTTTGGCTGCATCCCTGTGTTTTTTTTCTATGTCCTAGGTAGGGCTGCTATGTCTCCTGGTCTCAGTAGAGTGGCCTTATGTAGTAGGTATCCTGTGGGGCCCAATAATGCAGTCTCCCTGTTCACCTGAGCTGGGTGCTCCAAGTGTGTCCCTTGTGTGGGTTGTGTGTGCCCTCCTGTTGTAGTTGAGCCTTGGTTGCTGTTTGTATGTCAGTGGGAGGGAGTGACCCTTGGGCTGATTGATTGTGCGGACTGGCCGTGACTACAGTGGAGTAGCTGTTGGGCAGGGGCTGACCCTATGCAACAAGATATGCTTTAGCAGGGCTCTGATGCCTGCCTAGTCTGCCCTTTTGGTATGTCTTCCTCAGAGGTGGCTGGGTGGTGCGCTGGCTCCATCCTAAGATGGCCACTGGGTGTGCCAGCCCTGAGGCCTCCTGGGAGGGGACCTGCTGCAGGCAAAGTTCAGCCACAACCTGTGCTTTGCCTGGTGCTACCTGGCATGAGCCACAAAGCAATCTGCAGATGGTCTCCACCCACGCTGGGTTTGGTGGTACCTTGAGAGGCCAAGCCTCGAACCAGTGCTGGCTGTTGCTAGTGCCAGGCTTAGGGCTGCTCAGCCAGAGGTACAGAACATGCTGAAGCAAGATGTTGCTTGTTTGGAGTTTGTGAACCTTTGAGAGATTTTAGGAAAGTTTGCCGCATGAGCCAAGATATACCCTTTGGATGGAAAAGCCACTGGAAACATCTTGGATAGGCCCACAATTTGGGGGGGCGGGTTTGTCAGGGAATCACCAGGGTGGGGCAAACAGTGTTAGCTAGGTTAATGGCGCCTCAGATATGGTGCCTGCCTGTATCTGCATACTGGGAAGTGGGTGGGCTCAACGAAGAAACAATGGATTCTGCCAGCTGCCAGCATTTCTTACTAGGAGAAAGCTGCCCTTCCAGCACTTGCCCTGAAGCCAGACACTTCAGTTCCTCTCTGTAGGTCCCTGGCAACTTTCCAGCTGCTACCCCAGCACTGGAGCTCAGAGAGAGTGAACCCATCAGTGATTAAGTCCATGCATGGGCCCTTTAAGAGGAACACCTGGGACTCGCGCAGCCCTCACTCAGCCATAATCACCTCTGGTTTTCAGGGCCAGAAGTTATGGGGACTTCTCTCCTCAACACAGGACCCTGGGCTAGGGAGCCTGATGTGGGGCTGGGACTCCTAGTTCCTCAGGAGGGACCTCCACAGCCAAGATACCTCTTCCAATTTTTAACCACCATATGCAGGTGTCTCTGCCCTTTCATGTCTCGGCCCCTCCTACCAGTCTTCAGTTGGCTTCTTCTGTATGTCCTTAGTTGTATGACTTCTGTTCAGCTATATTTCAGGTGATTCTCAATGATGGGTGTTCTGTAGTTTTGTTGTAATTTTGATGTGGTTGTGAGATGAGACAAATATAGCGTTTAACTACTCCACCATTTTGCCCATAAATACAACTTTTAAAAAACTATTAATGCATTTTTATCTTCTTTTCTTGTATTTTCCTTGGATTTTTAAAAAATATCTTTTACTTAATTATCTTTCTTTTCCATTTAATTTAAAATACATTAAAATGTATGAATTTGCTAGGGTTAGTTCTTGTGGACACTGATATTTCTGTACCATGTTCATTTTATGTGTGTGGTCTTTTTACTGTCTTGAATACCTCAAAGGTATATAAAGAAGATTTAGGTTTACTAATCTTTGATTCAAGAATTATTTAGAAAGATATTTTTCTATTGTCCAAGTTGAGATTTTGTTTTTATTTTGTCCTTGTTCTTTCCATCTTTGACTACTAATTTCTAATTTTGATTCATTTTATTTAGACAGTTCAAAGGTATGACAACTTCCTAAGGCAAGGTGAAAAGGGTTAATAAGGGTCAAATAGGCAAAAATCAGTGTGCTGTTTGTTGAAGGACTATATGAATCAAGACATCCAGTCACCATTTATTGACCATCTGTCAAGTGCCACATACTGTTAGGCAGTGGGAAGTGGAGAAAAATAAGATTCCTTATCTGTCCTCACAAAACCTACAGAATGGGAATTGATCATGCCAGTGAATTAACAGAAGTGTATTCATTGTCTTTAGACTCTGATTCATTACGAGATTGCAACACATCCAGTAGGATTGCTAAATCACATGTCTAGGTTTTCCTCATGAATGTGATAATTATACAACTAATGAATCTCCCTGTTTCCTAATTATTTTATAGTGAAGGAACGATACAAGTTGTGTTGACAGACTTATCTTGAAGCTAATGAACCCTCGTTGAGGCTCCTCACTGCAAAGACCCCATACAAGGCCCTGGCACTGGCTTCATGTGGTCACATGGTTGTCAAATTTGCAAAGATAAGATTTTTCAATTATTTTTTTTAAAGAGATTCTCCTGGATTTGTTCCTGTAGCAACCACATCTGTGCCAGCCATCAGGTGGTAATTCATTTAAAGGTAAGTAGATAATATTTGTTGATTGCTTTTTCTTTGGGAAATTTATACACATCTCTGAATAGTCACCAAGTATTGTTAACAACTTTATATGTTTACATATATATTTAATGTTTTGTTGTTGGCACATGTTATTCAATACATCTAGGTCCTTGAAAGTTTTTCAGCTGTTCTAATATATAGCCAAGAAACTGGAATGAAATCTTTAAGGAATTACTTCATTTATACCAATAAAAATTTCCATAAAGAATAAAAATGTGCAGTATTTGAAAAAGCCTGAAAGTTCTTCCTCAATGCTTACAGGGTTGCATGATATATGTTCTGTGATAATCTAATAATTATCACTTGGTATTTTGGGAGACTAGAAAGATGATATTAACAGTGACTTCTCAATGGTGAAAGACAAGTTTCTGGAGTACACACACTCATGGCCAGAGAATTTATCCTTCTCTATCTCCAGCACCTAGGACAGTGCCTGGCATTCAGTAAGTCCTTAACAATACTTTTGAAATAAATAAAAGAGTGATGAAAAACCTGTCAGGCATTACACAAAAAGAGCCAGCGTAGTTGAAGTTTTAGGCAGTCTATTATAATACAAAACAATAGCAAGACCCCAATTTGGATGAGTTAGAAAAAATATTGTGACTTGGAGAAAGTTGATGCTTTGTATAAATAGAGATTTCCTGTATTAATGACAAAATTATAATGGTCCTTTACTTGGGTAACTGGAGTTGCCTATACCATTTGGTAGATTGAGCAATTAATTAAGATCACTATATTAATTTTGGAGAGAGGCCAGCACCAATTAAAGAATTAAATATATCACGTTTCAGGGTGCCCTAGATCTCTGTGATCATCTGGTATCTGTAAGGCTGTCATGAGGATGGACGATCCTGAGCAGGGTGTTGGTGGTGATGTGTGGGAATCTAGTATTTCTGCAAAACTCTCATAATTAGTCCCATGAAAACAGAGAGCTTGGACAGACTTTTTCAAAGTTTCACACAATTGACACATTGCTTTTTTCTTTTCTTGTTTTCCTAGAAGCAAATTTAACAACTTCTGCTGCTCTTGCCACCTTCCCCTTTCCTGCCTGCCTCCCTCTTTCCCACCCATGAAGTAAACAAGTGATGTGAACTCAAAATATCAGCGTTTGTATGATCAGCAATTAGCACTTAATTTCAATTTACCTCCTGCACATATAGTGGATGGTTCAGCGGCCAGAATTTCGATGCAGGACTTCTTTAAAATCTAGGAGGAGAGGAAATGAAAAAGTCAAAGCACAGCTTATTTTGTTAAAACAGAGAAGTCGCGTTTTGTTTTTAGTGACTATGATAGGTAGGTTCAAGGACCTTATGTTGTAGTGGGTGGGTGGACGGGGAGTAACATCTTTACTGGTATCATTAATGTCAAACATTTAATAAGCCAACATTGTGTGAGATGCGTCTGGATGTCCCAAAGGCAATAAGAATTATTCATTCACTTGTTCTTTTGGCAGATATTTATTGAGTTTATGATATGCCAGGCCTAGTTATGGAGAGGTTTGGCATCTCATTGGGGAAACAGGACTTACACTTGAAAAGATAAATAACAATGGCCAGTCATATGTGGTAGGTGCCAGGGTGAAGGGGCAGACAGGGGGGCTACGGAGTTCATGAGGGGAAATCACTGAAGTCTGGTACACTGGGAAAGACTTCCTGGAAGAGGTGGGTGCTGAGGGTGGGACTCAGTCAAGTGGACAGGAGTAAGTTAGGGGAAGGCTGGAGTCCAGGCAGGGCATGGCATGAGCAAAGATCAGAAAGTAGAAATATCTAAACCTCTTTAGCTGGAATAAAAGGAGCTTGAAAAGCAGAGGAAAAAAAAGTGATGATAGATAAAGCTGGAGAGTAGGATGGAGATGGCCAACACTCTCGAGGGTCATTTTCTGATTACTATACTCCGTTTCCTTTTTCTTAGAAAAGCCTGGCAAGACGTTATGGGAGAGGGCTGTGAAGGCTGCTTTGTTGTGCCCCACTCTTCAGGAGAACCCCCTAAACCTTACTTGAGTGGAAATGTAGTCTTCCTTTGCAAATGAGTCTTGCAGTTTTGAGTGGACAGTGCAGGGGAACCCCATGACCGCACAAGGAGTCAGTAAGGAAGGCTTCTTCTGTCCAAAGCCGTGTATCTGATTGGTAGGGTTTAAGCCTCTCTCCATCCTTCATGGATCCCGTCTCTTGTTGAATATTGATTATAAAGTTTCAACTAAGCATTTTAAACAAGTCTAGGACACTGAGTTAACTTACCAAGCAAATGTAGTATATTTATTTGGGCCTTCCTTAATTTGGAAATTGAAATGGTTCAGAGGGCTGAAGGGAACCATTTCTCTATTTATGAAAAGGGCATTTGTTAGGAGAATTAATAGTGAAATTATACAATTTAAAGTCATTAAAAGAAAAAGCATCTTTTCACATTGGGAGACACCTGCTTATTTGCACTGATGGATTTATTTATACACGCTACTTTCTTCTAAGTGATGTAATACACTGTGAGTTACAATCAAATAAATTACAAAAGGGGAGGATATGGGTGAAAGGGAAAATAAGGGGACGATGAGGTAAGAGTGAGAACAGCATGAAAAAAAAACAACACTGAGAGCTTATTTCCTTGCTAGGAGTAGCCAATGAGGACAGACAATATTTATAAGATTCTCAATCTATGGAATAAAAACAAGCCAGTTTCTCAGAAGAGATAATATTTACCCATTCCAGAGAGAAATCTGGGCGTCCTCACAGAGAAGCATTGTAAAAGGAAATGAACAACATACTTCAGAAAATCTTTATCTGATGTGCAGATGACAAAACATTAAAACATAGTCATTGAAACAGGTTCCCTCACAACCATGTATTTTAAGTTACTATATATACCTGAAAGTCATAAAAAGCAGTATTTCTTGTTTTGACAGTTCTAAAATTCAGATTTCCAGTTACTTTTCTTGACATTTCTTCCTACTCTTGTACAACTTAAAGGAATTTTCATACTTGGATTCCACTATTTGTTTTCAGTTTCCACCTCATTCCCCAGTAGGAAGCAATTTGTTCCTCTTCGTCAGCTTTTGCCTTCTTTCCTTGGCCTATGGGTTACCAGCCACCTCTGCCCTATGCCAAACAGGAGCAGCCTCCGGTCCCCGAGAGTCCCCAAACCTGTTCCAACTATAAAATGATTCACGTGCGGGACCCAGCTCTGTTAGAATCAGTAGTCTTCACACAGCTGGCTCTGGGGACCTGGTATCACCACCAGCTCCTGAGTTCCCTTCATTATCATTCTGATATGGGATCACCGTTTACCCTCTTCCCCCCCGTTTACTGCCATTGGGCCACTCAGCCAGTGGTTGCCATGACTGAGGGAGGTAGCCGCTCCCTTCAACATGTCATCAGGCACAAGTCTCCAAACAGGCCACACTGGGAGAAACGGAATTAACCCATATGGAGAAACTTATTAAATAGTGGTATTAGAACAACCACAAAGCTATTTTTTGATGTTTTAAATAAAATTCCTAAGGCATTTGGCACCCCTTAATAAATCATTTTATCATCCACAACAAAAGATTTCAAAACAGTTTAAGAATAAAAATTGAGCTATTGGATCTATCCTGTCCTCATCTCCAACTCCACCAAAACACATAAATGAAATATTTTCACCCATGTAAGTTCTTGACTTTGAGTCAATGTTTTTGAACCAACTCTAATACTTAACCAGGGGTCAGTAAAGGAAACACCCGTGAATCTTTGACCACAAAGACACACTAGCAGGGTTTGTCATAATAAACACATGCTGTATTATTCTCTCAGAGTGTCTGCAATTAGCTGATAAATCTAAGGAGTGGATGAAGGGCCAAAAAATGTCAGCCAAGCGCTATGATTCAATCCAGTAAAAACACAGCTTTCCCAATCTTAACTTAAAACATCTGGAAGGGATGCATTGCAGCCAGTAGAGTAAAATTTATCAGTGAGGGGGATGGGCAGGATTTGTCTGGGACTGTGGCTTCTGTTAGTTTCAAATGTCTGGTTTCAAAATGTCTGGTCACAATGGCACTGGGTGGATTTTGGGGTCCCCTTGGTTATTAGCTACCCAGACTGTATGGTAATTAGTCTGTCTGAACTTCCCCAGAGAGCAGATCAATGTAGGGACTGAAGACTGGATGGGGGTGGGGAGGAGAAGTGGAAGAGGTGTAGATACAGCACTGAGAAATCACTGAAGGGAAATCACTACATAGAATGGAAGGAACTCACACAGGGTCAGGGTGATAGCAGACTTGAGAGTGTGATTGGCCTCTAATGGAGCCTGGCTAAGAAAACCACATGCTCAAGTATAACCCAATGTAAGGAGTTGGATCCTGGCCTTGGTCCTGTACTTACCTGACCTATGGTCATTGACAAACCCTTTAACTTTTCTGAACCCCAATTCTGAGGGGCAGTTTAACTGAATAATAGCTTGGATCTGGAATCAAATTGCTTGGGGCAGCTCAGTCATGAGCAGTGTGACCTCGGGCAAGAATAGCACCTACTGCGTGACTCTGTTGAGTTGATAAGATTAAATGAGATAATAGAGGTAAAGCCCATAGCACAGTGCCTGGAATCTGAGAAGTGTGTCCCTAATCGTAGCTATTATTATTAAGAACTTGGGCTCTGGACACAGATAAAGCTAGATTTGGGTCCTGAATAGATTTATGTTCAAATCCAAGCTCTATTCCGTACTGGCCGTGGGGACCTGGACAAGTTAATAAAGCTCTGAATCTCAGTTTCCTCCTCTGTAAAATGGGGATAAGAAAAAAACTGACCTCAAAGGGCTGTATGATGGCAAAGTGAATAAGAGACATGAACGCAGATATATTTCGTTTGTAAAGTCAACTGAACTTAGCTGGTAAAATTCATATTGGAGAGTGAGGAAGAAAGTGAGATTCAAGGAAATCTGACTAGGCTTTTGTTTATAGACTGAACGAACAGATATGATTGGTTAATAGATATTCAGAGAACAGCCCTGAGCTACCAGCCAGCACGTGCCTTTCATGAAAAGAAGACAGCAAGAAACGCACTCAAAACGACCTTAGTAGTAGAGCACTTAGAAGAATGACATGTATTCGGTTCTGAAAGCACTGTAGCTGTCACTATTACTTTTGTTATTACTACTGCTACTGCTATTACTCTTGGACAAAGATGGTAGCTCATATATGCTTGTATCCCATCACCCATCACTGGCCTTGTGCTTAATTTGCTGAAAGAAAGCTGAAAGATGGCTAATAGTTTTTTCCTGCAAGCTATATTTGCTGAACAAAACCCAAAAATCAAAAACCCAGAAAGATGGCTAATCATATTTTCCTGCAACCTTTTGGGCAAATTTCAAAAAAGAGGATATATAGAAAAGCATGTTTGAAATCCAAAAAGAACTGTATAAATGTGATGTGTTGCTACTGATATGGTTACTTTTGCACATCTCATTGGATTGTTGGGAAAGTAAGTGAGGCAGCAGATGTAAAATAACTTTGCTAAGTATTAATAAGAGCTAGTCAGTATATTTAAAGTGTGAAATCCATTGTATATATGAGTTTATTTTCTTGGACTCTATGATAATCGAAGGTCCTTTTTCATAAAGTTCTCAGTTTATGCAGCGATTTCTCAAGAATCCTTAAAGTATTATAAATATTTGCATAGAATTATTAGGAACTCCTCCTTTATCATATGGACACCACATTTTGTTTTTTTTCTAATTGCTCTGTCTCCTTCCCTAGTAAACCAACCATTATTTACTTGGCCATTTCCTGTTAGAGGATTTTTGTGTGTTGATAAAAGACCAGCCTTTCTGGTCCGTTGATAGCATAGGGCCTTTTGCTCCACACATCTTTCAGGTCTTCCAGGGTGTGCTTCTTGGTGTATCGTTTGTTGGGAAGGGCATGTCTGCATTTAAGATGTCTGGGGCCTGAAGCAGGCTGGCCCATGGCGGTTAACTCTCTGCCGACCAACTACATCTGACTAGTTCTCTAAGACAAAACCTAGCAGTTTTCCTTAACTTCACTCTCTCTGTCACTCTCCAAACCCAATATGGATTTTTTCACCTAAGTCCTGGTGATTTTACCAGTGAAATGTTTCTACATCCACCCACATGTTAGTATAAATTACCATCCTTCAGAGGGCTTGTCATGGTTTATAATTATATATTTATTTTTTGGATTGTTTGGTCATCATCTGTCTTCCTCCTTAGACTATAAACTCTATGAA